GGTTTTTGATTTAAGTGCTTGTTGTTATTTTTAAAATTATTTTATTTATTAACGGGAGGGGTCACGAGAAAAAATGGTTAATGCTTAAGTCGAAAAGTGTTTTATGGGGATTGCTTGTAATTTCACTTTCATCTCTTGTGTCTATTAGGAGGAAATTGTTAAAAACGACTCATAGTGAAAAACGTAGCGTCCAAACAAATTCTGAAAGTTGCAATATTCTACTTGGATCGTATAAAAATAAATTTAATTATGAATATATTATTATTACAATCTATAATTATCAAACAAAATTTTATGAGCATTCATATACTTTATATTTAAAAATATTTTTGATTTGTTTCATATTTGATGTACTTACTTTAACGAAGATTTTATTTTGCCGGTAGGTGTCATCATAGTCTCTTTCACGGTGGACTCCGGAAGAATTGAGAGTAGAGACACCTAACGTCCAAATAAAAATATTTTTAAATTTATTGTGTATAATGCAAGAAATAAATAATCATATTCCCACCTTCATTTTTCGCGAGCACTCCCTTAAACTAGATTTTATCAACTAGATTTTTTCTTGTTCTGATGTGGAGACTGCATTTCAGCAAGATTGTATACTAATTAACCAGGTAAGTTTTTCCTTCTTTTTTTAAAATTAAATAGAAATATTTTTTATGGATGCATAAACCTGCATGTATCGAGGGTTTCCATTACATTTGCAACTTTAATGAACATGAACAAGGGAAAACGTCAATTTATGTTAACATTTTGACTTTGCTTTTAATTTTTAGTGGAATTGAAGTTTTATTTCATTTTAGCTTGATGGTAATGTTCCCAAACTGTTAAAAGAGTTAGGAACAGAGTCTTTCCGCCCAGCCTTGTCCTCGTCTATAATTGATGGTATACAACAAATTGCCCAGGTAATTATCAGTTACAGTAAGAATTTTCGATTAAAGTTTAAAAAAAAAGTTGACAAGCTCCATTATTTATTTTCATTTCTCGATGCTATAATGATTTTTAAGTTAGAAAAGAACAGTGTAAAAATTGTCTCAAAACCAGGTTATGTACCGAAAACGCTACGTGAAATGGACCAAGTGTTAGTTTTGGAACTAATTTCCCCTGTATTAGATTGATGGTACCGTTCCATTTGTGCTCGCAGAGTTAACAATAGAGTCTCCTCGCCCAGGCTCGTCCTCTTCTGGAATGGAGGGTGTACAAGAATTTGGCCAGGTAATTATTTGTTACAGCAAAAATTTGCCATAAATCAGAGATAGTAAGGTCAGAATAAATTAAAAGGTAGATATGTTGAACTACCCACCTAGTGGTGATTAATATCCATCTAACAAAGTTTTACGGTTTAAGATAATTTCAAATTGTGAATCACCAAAATTTTGCTTATTATATCATGATATGCAAAAATAGAAGAATCCATTGTGCTCTTACTTCATTTTTAAATAATTTTTTTAGTGACGACCCTGGCACTAGAATAATTAGAATGATCCTAAGCACTGGTTTGTGTACCTCTACCATTTTTATAACGAAGCCTTGGCGTTCTAATAAAATTTAATAGATAATTAACTTAACTTTTTTTTGCTTCCTCAATGCAGTCTTACAGTTTCCATTACATTTGCAACTTTAATGAACATGAACAAGGGAAAACGTCAATTTATGTTAACATTTTGACTTTGCTTTTAATTTTTAGTGGAATTGAAGTTTTATTTCATTTTAGCTTGATGGTAATGTTCCCAAACTGTTAAAAGAGTTAGGAACAGAGTCTCTCCGCCCAGCCTTGTCCTCGTCTGGAATGGATGGTTTACAACAAATTGCCCAGGTAATTATCAGTTACAGTAAGAATTTTCGATGAATTACAGACATTAGGGTCAGAATTAATTAAAAGGTAGTTAAGTTGAACTATCATCTAAAAAAGTTTATGTTTTCAGAGAATTTCAAATTGTTAATCCGCAAAATTTTGCTTCTTGTATCCTGATCCGCAGAAATATGAGAATCCATTATTCTCTTACTTTAAATCTCAAAAGTTAATTAAAGAAGAGAGAATGATAATTGATTAAAGTTAAAAAAATGTTGACAAGCTTCATTAGGTATTAATTTTTTTAGTGACGACCCTGTAACCAGATAAATTTTAATTATATTGATCCTAAACACTGTTTTTTGTACCCTTTCCAGTTTTATAATTAAGTCTTGGCCTTTCTACAGTGCTAAGGATCTGATTAATTTTGATGCGGATTCTGATCCGAGTCCTATATCTGCACTTGAAAGAAATGGATCCGGATCCAGGTTATTTCTTAAAAATTTACTGAATTATTTTAACGAAGCAAAATTTTCAAATTTTTGGTATTATTTTTTTAGCTTATTTGAATGCAAAAACTTGATGAACCATTCAGAAATCCGGAAATTTTTATTATCTCCTTTATTTCAATAGTTCACATTTGGGTTTTTAGAGTAACATTTTTTGATGAGGTTTTTGGTTCATATTTTGCCCCTTGGATCCGGATCCGTGGATCCTCATATTTTTGCAGATCCGGATCCAGGAACCCAAAATCTTGCGGATTCAACAGATCCGGATCCTAAGCAATGGCCTTTCTTTAACAATTTATTGATAACTAACTTAATTTTTTGCTTCCTCAATGCAGTCTAAAAGCTTACATTATATTTGCAACTTTAATGAATTTTCAAATTGTCTTATTTTTTTCCACTTGTTTTTATGCTAAAACTTGATGAACTGTTCAGAAATCAGGAAATTTTTATCTCTGTTATTTCAATAGTTTAGATTTGGATTTTTGGAGTAAAATTTTTTTTTGCAGATTTTGGTTCATTTTTTACCCCTTGGATCCGGATCCGTGGATCTACATATTTTTGCGGATCCGGATCCAGGAAGCCAACATCTGGCGGATTCAACGGATCCGGATTCTAAGCACTGGCCCTCCATTAACAATTTATTGATAATGGCTCTTGCTCATCTATAATGGAGGGTGTAAAAAAATGTGCTCAGGTAATGCAGTCAAACTTTGCCCGACCCAACGGTATTACAAAAATCTTTGATATATACCTCTAAATTCAAGCATAACCCACACTTTTCATCGTCTAAATCACACGTGGATGAGGTTTTGTTCTCTTGAAATAATATAATAATTAACCACTCACCCTATCATGTTATTAATATAGATTTTGTTATTTTTAGGATAATGTTATTTTAAGTTAATTATTTCTCAAAATTGAAGTTTTTGTTTTAATTTCAACACTTTGTGTGATAATTTGCGTGCATTGTATAAATTCAGTGAACTTATTTTAGACTAAGAACAGAGCTAGGGTTAGGAGTGATTCGTATGGATCAGATACATCCTTAGAATCAGACGAGGTAAAATAAATTTGTCAACTACTGAACGGTGTTAATTTTTTTATTTTAAAAAATTTACCCCCTCCGAACCCCTCCCAGAACAAATTTCAGTGGGTAATCAAAACCTGCCCTTTATTTTTAGATAAATGAAATCACTTACTTTAAATATCCAATTCATTACATCTTTTATGAAAATGCATGTTTTTAAAATCAGCGTTTCGGATCCGTATCATTTTGATGCGGATCCAGATCCGCGGATCCGCATCCGTGATGATGGATCCGGATCCTGACTCTGATCCGGATCCGAGGTAACTTTTGATTCTGTGAATCGGATTTTCCATATTAAATGTTATGCAAGGTTATAATTTATAAACTATATTTATTATATATTCCGAAATGTAACAAAAAAATTGAAAAATTTTCGTCATGTAAATAATACATTTACGAACCATTTTGATTTATTTATTCCATGGTTTTGGTTAATTTTTGGCGCTACCCGGATCCATATCAACGTTTCCTGATACGGATCCGGATCCGGATCCGGATCCGACCAAATGATACGGATCCGACCGGATCCGGATCCGAAACGCTGGTTTTTATGTTCTCTCGCATTTTCTCCTTTGTTTCAAATCCAAAAGTACCTTTTTAACGGAACCAACACGTGTAAAATAATCAATTTTTAAAGTTAAAAACTTGGATATCTTATTCATTATTGATGAAACAAAGATTAATAAATAGGCAGTTACTTGTAATTATGTCTACACTGTAAAGTCACTGTTTAAAACTTTTAATCTGAAAGGGACTGTGAGCGTATTTTATTATTAAAGGGACTGTAAGCTTATTATATTATCAAAGGGACTGTAAGCGTAATTCAATTGACCCTCCATGTAAAAATAGTAATGCCCGATTTACAACAGTACCCTTAAAAGCATTGTCTGATCAAGTATGAATTAGATATCAAGGATTATGTTTCTTTAAACTGTTAATTGTCAATTGCGGTTTCTCAGCGGAAGTGACTTGTGAAGTTGTGCTTTTCTTGCGTATAAGAAGCAATTGAGAAATTCACAGAAATAAACACTTTTCGCGTCAGAAAACCGACGTTATCTTCCACATTTTTATTCAAATGAAGGTTCCAAGGATACCGTTGCCATATTTGCAAAGATGGCCACTTGAAATATTCACGGGTTAAGTTAATTTAGATTTAAGATTTTCTTTCTTTATATCTCTGATTTGGTGGTGGCATTTATTTAAGGAATGAATGAATAATCAAGGTTTTGAATTTTCCCAATGAAGATTGAAAATCAAAGATATTTTCAATCTCCTTTACTTATGACTAACATTATGATACCCGCCTTTTTATGGAACTTAAACTGTGCTTAACTAACCTGTAGGCTTGCGCCGAGTAAAGGTGTAGAGTTAATGCAAATGTTCTTAGAGCCGGGTGGTATGATTCTGTATTTGATTTTACAGATGACTTACGTTTTTGAATTTGAGAAGCAGAAGCCATTAGTAGCTCCATGGTACTCTCTTGAATAGAATAGTTTTGGCACGCAGTTTTAAGTGTATCCTGGAGATCTTTCACAGTTTTTCAAGTTTTTTTTACGGTTTTGAAGGTTGCAACATCTCTCTCTGTATTTTATTCCCATTTCCGCACTATCTTAGAGAAGTTGAATAGTTTCTTGAGAATAAGGCAGGGAATAATTATGGTCTTTCTTTATCACTTGGACATGACAATCTGTAGTTACAGCCAAATATATGGGTACAGCATTGTTCCACAACTTTTTACCAAAGAGACTTCTATAGCATTTATTTTCAAAATGCCGACTGCATATCTGGCTAGAAGAGTCTGTTTTCCATTTGTCTAATGCAATCCACTGCTCTTTTATCGTGTGCAGGATTACATTTTAACAGGATGACGTACTAATGCAGTCTTTTACAGAGCAATATTTCATGGTTAGTAAACAATTCTGAGAAAACTGAGTAAAATTTTAGATACAAACCTCCCCATACACTTACTCCGAGAGCGTACTGCATATTTGATGTATGTACTGTATGATATAGGCCATAATCTCTTAATATCCCTTATCAGTAAACTGTCCTAGGTGTACACTCAGGCTAGACAGCGGCCCAGGTAGTAAACTATCATCCCCCCTGGTCGTAACATTTAATGTGGATCCGCACCAATACATTTCAACCAAAGATAAAGATATAAATAAACTTAATAACAACAATTTATTTTTAACATAAATGTCATCTAATGAAAAGGCATAATTACTAATTAGTGTTTGAATTTCCTGAGATAAAATAAATTAATAAATAATAAAACCATTAAATAGTGTTATTTTGAAGTCAATTAGAGGTCATTATAGATCATTAAAAGTTGATGATACTCTATTGCCTTTGTTAAAATTTTTTTTCATAGGCATGTAGCCATTGTTGGAACAATTAAAATTTGAAGGTCATTAAAAGGTTACTATATTGTTAAACAGTAAACACAGGATTCTGGTTATCTATTCCTTGGGTTACTAGTTTTCATGTTATATGAATAGAGTTGTTCAAAGAATTGTAAATACTGAGGATCGTCATGATAGACATGAAACATTATGTTTAGTATAATTATTTTTTAATAAAAAATGTGCAGTTAAAAACTGAAATATGAATAGAGCTATAGTTAAAACATATGCTCAGGTCATTAGAGGTAGTACGACTTGCGAGGTCATTAGAGGTCATTACAAGGTCATTACAAGGTCATAATAAGAGCCATCACTGGATTTGTTGCTTATACTGTATTACCTGGGTTGCTAGCTTTTGTTAGAGTTCCACTGAATTATTTGTTGCCACTGCATTGGTGAAAATCCTAGCTATTGTTTGATATTCATTAAGTCGTACTTTAAACATTTTCTAATTGTTTAGGTGATTATTTATTTATTTATTATACTATATTCGAGCACTAATGTTGCATGCAGCCAAAAAATTGGAACATTTTAACTAAAAATGAACTCATGGAACTTCCCCCCTGATAAAATGTGACATCTTTTCCATCCACTTTTATTTCGGCGTATCCATGATTAGTACCGGCATCAAAACAAAATTATTCGTACATATAATTACAAAAATGTAAAAATTAAAGAACGTCGAGATATTTTTGTAAGAAAACCATGAATATTTCACTTAAGAGAACTGCGAACCATTTGAAGAAAATCGCAAAATTACAAAAACCTCAACGATGTGTCTGATAAGACTTACTAAGTCTACTCGTGGTAAGGATGCAATAATCGATAAGAACTATCATAAATATACCTTTAATAGTGCTGGGGAAAATGTTAACTATTGGACCTGTGCAAACAGAAGTTGTAAGGGAAGGATTTCCACCCGGAAATCAACAGGGAACCTTGTAGGACAATCAATTCCTCTGCATGATCATGGTAATCAGCTCTTGATCAAGAAGGCTTAAGAACATGAGAACATGGCCAATCATCAACGTCTTAAGTTTCTTGCTGAACAGTTTGGCGTTCTGCCTGACGAAGAATATCTGCATGGCTCATGAACTTAAAAAATCGGATAATTAATTAAACTGTAAAAAAATGAACATTGCATTAAATAGAAATACAAAAATAGCTGATATTTGGTGTTTTATTTTTTATCTTTATTTTTACATTTATACAAAAAATTACCCTAAGTGTAACATTTACGAAATGTTACCTATACCAAATGTTACCTATACCAAATGTTATCTATACAAAATGTTGTCTTGACGAATAGTAACCTATACGAATTGTTACCTATACAAAGTGTACTATACGAAATGTTTCCTAGACAAAATGTTACTATACGAAAATGTACTAAACAAAATGTTACTGATCTGCGTATGGGCTTAATGCGATAAAAAAGCGATTTTGATCGCTACTAATCTTAATTGTAGCTGTTGTGTCTATAAGGAGAAAATTGATAGAGACGTCTCATACCAAAGAACGTAGTGTCCATACAAATTCAGAAAGATTCAACATACCACTTCGACCGTAAAAAATCTATTAAATTTCAAACAAATCATTCAGATATAATGATATTACAACCTATAGTCATCGAATATCTTTCGCCACATTTCTATATAGTTGATTTTTCATAATATCTCTTGATTTTATTTTTTAAAATAATATTTAGCTTGCAACTTGTTTTCGAACATTCCTGGAAAATATGAAAATGTTGTCTTCATTACCAAAAATACTCGAAACAGGAATAAATCTTTTTATAAGCAACTCTCAGATCATAACAATTAAGGTAGAAGTAAGATTAGTAGCGATTAAAATCGCTTTTTTATCGCATTAAGCCTATAACTCCATTTCATTTTTCGCAAACACTCCCTTTAAATGATGCGTAACTTTGTCGCTTTATAGCTAGTTAACTGCATTTACAATAAATTCAAATTCGCATCCAGCTGTACATAGTCCTACATTCATTCGTTTGTCAGTTACATTGAATCAATTGATTTAGATAACGTATGAGAAATAGAATTATTATTCAGTATAATCTTTTAAATGTTTATCAAAATATCAAAGTAACTTTAACAAATATTTGTTTCAGGGGAAACCCGATATTGTGGAAATAATTAAAGAAAAGTCAAAACAGCATCAAAATGAACTCATATTCATTTTGAGGAGGAAAATGAATGATGAGTACAATACATCTGCACAGGTACAAATTTGATGTTATTTTGTGAATTGTTTAGATTTTAGTTAATCTTGGCGTTTGGTGAGAAAGGAATTTTTTGAACAATTTTTAATTGATGTAACTTTAAAAATAAAAAATTCATGAAACTTCTAATTAAACTGAATACTGTATGAAGTTGTAGTTAGACCATGATATCGCAAAATGTAAATTATATTTCTAACAGTTTGCCATAAATAATCAAGTTAGTAATCATTTAGGTGGGAGAACGAATTGTGATTGGGACAGATCGAGGACAAAATCTGCTTAAATGTTTTCACAAGGGATGTGGTAGGCTTCTTTCGGTAAGTTTCA